ATTGGTGGGATGTGGGCGCCCTGTATGAGGGATTTTATGTCTGTTCCATTGGGATGGCTATCTTCCTTTTTTTGTTATCTGGAGTTGTTCTATTTCTTTTATTTTAAATTTTTATGCCATTTTATGCCATCAAGAAGTTGGGTGGCTTTGGAAATGTGATAAGAAGCAAACAAACAAGTCTCCTGCCATTCCTTGACATTGTTGTATCTTGTTTACTAACTGAGTTAATGAATTGGTCAACATTACTTTGAAGGTGTTATATTGCAGATAATCCATCTGGTCCTGGGGATTTATTCACTTTTAACTTCTGTATTCCTTGCTTTGTCTCATCTTCTGTAATTGGCTTATTAAGTAATTCCTTTTGCTGATCTTAATTTTTTTAATATGTGCTGTATCCACTATTCTATAGTCTTCACTTTTTATGCTGTATCTTGCATTGGGTTCTGCTTGTGCCTTGATTCTAATTATTTCAAATCATTCAACAGTATATATTTTTTGTTTTGTGAGGCTTTCTCTCTATTCAATGCAAAATAAATAAATAAATAATCCTCTTGTAAACATTTTACTAGGTTCTGATACTCTAAATAAAGAAACATCAGGAATTGAGTTAGTTTGAAAGAAACTCTAATTCAGATTGTCACTTCAGTTTGATATCTTCTTGTAATATTGGGCCATTCAATCCCCATCTTTCTGAATGGGATTCCTCTGGGCAATTTTACAATTATTGCATTATGATCTGCATTAAGTGCTGCAACCTCCACTTTTGTAAATTTAAGTAATAGTGAATTACACCTCCGGCATGGATCTTTTCTTAAATAAGTTTTATAAGAAAGGGAAAAATAAAAACTGTATATTTTTTCTCTAAAGGATATTTATATCTCCACTCATTTAAGAGAGAAAATAATGACATATAATCCACAACATTTTTGGCAATTTGCCAGAACTCCTTTTGTATTAACCAGATTTATCAGGATTTGAAGGGGGGGAAATCAAAACATCTCCTTCTGCAATTTCAATGAGTGAAGAAAAATTCATACAATTTTGTTCTATTATCACTTGGAACATAAACTGAAGCAATTGTAATTTTTCCTTGCTGAGTTTGATGCCATAGTAGTAAAAATCTCCCTACTTCATCTTGAATCTTTTTTTCCAAGTTTTATGAATTCCTAATGTCTTTTGCTACTCCATGCTACAGCCCTGGATTTTAATGGTAAATGTATATATTAAATTTATAGGCTTATGCCACCCATCTCATACGCATGACTCTGGGAGGCTCACAATTAAAAAAGAATAAGAACAATGACCTAAAAATAGCAGCCAAGAAGATTCATAAATACTCATACAAGCCATGACAGAGGCTCGCCCATGTTATCAGGGTCCCAGGCTCAATGGCAAAGCCTGGTTTTTAGCGCCTTATGAAAGGCCAGCAGAGTCAGGGCAAGTCTAATTTCTGGGGGGATGATGTTCCAGAGGGTGGGCACCATGCCAGAAAAGGCTTTTGTGAAGCTTTCTCCTGGCTCCTAGGTCCTGACAGATGATACTCTCTCACAAATGGGACCCAGAGCATGCCTCTCCTGCCAGATCTAACAGGATGAGTAGACACAACTGGGGAGAGACGGTCCTGTAAGAAACCCAGCCCCAAACCATGAAGGCTTTAAAAATAACCACCAGCACCTTAAATTGCACCTGAAAGCATATTGGTACCCAATGCAGCTTGTGGAATGGAGATGTCACATGTGTCAAATGACCAGCACCCATAACTGCTTGTGCCGCCCCATTTTGCACCAGCTGAAGCCTCTGAAATCTCTTCAAGGGTAGCCTCATGTAGAGTGCATTTTAGTAATCCATTTAGGAGGTGAATAAGGCATGAGTGACTGTGAGCAGAGCCCCCCAGTCCAGAAACAGGCACAACTGGCACACAACATGAAGCAGTGCAAAGGCCCCCCTGGTCATGACTGCCACCAGCTCATCAAGGAGGAGCTGCAAGTGCAGAAGGACCACCAGATTGTGCACAGGATCTCTCTGGGGCATTGCAACCCCATCCAGAACAACAAATGGAAGGTCCCCAGAACCAGAGGGTCCTAAAACCCTAAACCACTCAGTCTTCTTAGGGTTGAGCCAAAGCCTTTTGTTCCCCATCCAGACCTCCACACCCTCCAGATACTGAGACAGAATCTCCACAGCATCACTCAGATAGCCCAGGGTAGAGATGTATAACTAGGTTATTATCTGCATACTGGTGATACCTCACCCCAAACTAATAGATGACCTCACCCAATGGCTCCATGTAACTGTTACACAGGAGAGGAGAGAGCAGTGAGCCCTATGGCACTCCACATAGAGGGCATGGATTGGATCTCTTCTCCCCATCAACACCAACTGGAACCAAACTCGGAGGAAGGAGGAGAATCAGGATGACATGGTGCTACCCACCCCCAGGTCCTGAAGCTGGTCCAGAAGAATACCATGATTTGAAAGCCCCTGAGAGGTCAAGAAGAGCAAGGACGGATGCACCAGCCCCGTCCCACTCCCACCAGAGACCATCCAAAAGTGTGATCAATGCAACCTCGGTCCCATACCCAAGCCTGAATCCTGACTGAAAAGGGTCCAGATAATCTGCTTCTTCCAGAGTTCTTTGAAGATGCTGCACAACTACATTCTCCACAACCTTCTCCAAAAAGGGAAGGTTGGAAACTGGATGAAAATTGTCCAGTACCATTAGGTCCAGCGATGGCCTCTTGAGGAGGGGGCAGACCACCACCTCCTCAAGAGATGGAGGAACCCCCTCTCTCAAAGAGGAATTAACCACTGCCAAGACCCAATCACACATCACCTACCAGGTGTCCTTAGCCAGCCAGGAAGGACATGCATTGAAAACAGAGGTGGCTAATCTAACAGTTGCAAGTACCCTGTCCACTTCCTCAGGTACAACAAGATCAAACGCCTCCCTCATAACCAAGTTAGACCTTGCCCCAATCACCTCCATAGGACCTGCTACAAGGCGAGAGTTCAATGTAGCACAAGTCCGATTTACTTTATCTGTCAGACATCTAGCAAACTCCTCAGCACCTTGTAGGTAGACCTCTGAGCAACCCCCTCCCAAGAGGGCTTGGATGACCTGAAACAAGGTTGCTGGGCAGTTATCTGCAGACGCAATAAGGGTGGAGAAATATTGATGCTTCGCTGCCCTTATGCCACAGGGTAGGTGTAATGGTATGGAGGAATGACCTTGAAAGACAGGAGGAAGAGCACAGACTGGGCAACTGTCATGTAAAAGATATCTCAGTTCACAGAAGGGGGTATAGGGTATGGGAAGCATTTCAGAAAGGATCTTCCCTAGTTTTCTGGAGAATAAAAGGAGAGGAGGGTAGAAATACTTTCAGTCTTGAAAGATTCTGTTAATATAACCTTACAATAAAGTTAGTACTCATAGTTGTGCTTCTTGTCTGGACTATCCTGAAGGGCTAATAGTAGGCCCTAATAGCGGCTTTAACCTGTGTTCAATCAGATTCACACTGTGGCGCTCTCCAGTAGCGCTCCAAGCATCTCTTCACCCACTTCATTTTCCTCAACTCTTCCATAAATCAAGGGGGGTTCCGGGATCCTGGGTGCAAAGAGGTCCCTCAAGCACAATCCAATCCAGAGCCTCCGCCACCCTTTCATTCCAGGTGGCTCAGTTGGACTGAGCAGCAAACCCTCAGGAACAATTCCAAGCTCCCTCTGGAACCCAATCAGGTCCATCAGTTGCCTGGGATGGACCAATCTAATAGGTCCTGCCTCTCTGTGGTAGACAGCAGTGCCAGAGAACTGTAGGGCCATCAGAAAGTAATCTGACCATGACAGGAAAAACAGAAACCTTTTTATCAAACCTTAATTTGATATACCCCACCTTATTACTTCGGGATGTATTCAAGGCAGCTATTTGTACTCCTTGAAATAATACATATATAGAAAACAGTAATCCTATAATGTTCACACCATATTCTGTGATGCAGTTTTCTAATTAAAAAACAAGTACAAAAATGTCTACATTAGGAAAACAAGTATACAAAAATGCATTAAAATACATTTTTAGGAAGTGGCACATATAAAAGCATAGAAAGCATAGGGCTTGCAAATATGGTCTTCTGTTTCAATGTGAAATATGTTCATTTATGTAAAGCATTTTACCCCATTGTTCAGTTTAAACACCTCGCAAAGGAGCTTACAGATCAGTTTAAAAAACAAGGTGCAAGGTAGTTCTGTAGTTCTCTAGCCTGAATGCACTTCACAAAAGAAACAAGGTGGGGAAAAAATGAGCAGCACAGTCCTGGGATTCTTTCTCTTTCTCTTTAATGCTGAATTGTATGATTCAGGAGGGAGGAGGGGACTTAGAACAGAGTGCCGTAGCAATAACACGCCCAGCTACTTTCCCCATAGATGTGCAATGGGAGATTATTTCCTGGATTTTTTTTTAACCAGAGCTGCTGGCTGGATCTGGCCAATTTTCGAACTGAATCTTTCTTTTGCCAGTTTCTCTTACCATGCAGCAAATCTGATTCTGTTTTCAGAGAATTATTCTGTGGCAGTCTACTTTTACATATTTTCTTTCCAATATTCCATTGGATTGGAAAAAATAAAAGGGATGGAATGGAAATAAATTCTCAATATTACAAGGTTCTTATAACAACTAGTAGGGTTGGAAACAGTTCAGGAACAGATTATTATTCCAGAATCAGATTTTAAAATGACTATCCTGATTCTAGACCATTGTGTCTGTGCTGCAGTGACTCCCTGCCACATTGCTGGGCACGATGAGATGGTAGAGCTTGCTCATGGCCTGGGTGAAGGTGTTTTGGAATTGTAACCTTTGACTGGGAGCTGTTGCTGTGGCGTTGACAGAGTTGCTGGGACCTACCGACTAAGACAGAAAAGCTTCATGGTTCCAGAGTGAAAGCAGGAAGTCCTAGAGCAGTGGATAGTATACTTGAGAAATAGCCATGTCTTCCTTTTCTCTTTAGGTCTTTTCTGAAGGAGCTGGCCCTCATGGGAGAAACTCAAGAGCGGGAGCGGGTCCTAGCTCATTTTTCACAACGTTATTATGAGTGCAATCCCAAAGCCATCTCTTCTGAGGGTGAGATAAAATAAGTTAAAATAAAATAAATGGACAAGGCTTTTCAGCTTATTAGTTCTCACTGTGAACATCTTCTACTCCATTCAGGCAGAACACTTTTACTGCTTTCACTAGAGCGCTAGCACTCAGGCCCAGCACCTGTGCGTGCAACTTTGGTTAGGGTGGGATTAAGCACTGCAAAGAATGCCTCCCCACACAAGTTCAAGAAGTTTTGCCTGGTAGAACACAGATCTGGGTGGCCTGGACCCCAGCGATTTTTTGTAAGGTGCTAAAACCTGGGTTTTCTCTTATGCACTGGACCAGGAAGTTAAGTGGGCTTGGTTTTAGCAGAGTAATTGGTGCAGATACATGAGCTGCCCTGGGCATGTGCTTTAATTTCTACTGGTGATTTTGTTGCTGTTTGTTTTTTAACTGGATGTTAGTTACCCGGAGTCACATGGCAACTAGACAGTCATACAAATTGATTGACCAATTAAATAAATAAATAAATAAATGGAAGGCTGGAGGCCCATAAGTAAAATGCTGGTAAAGGAGAAAGCAAGATGGAGGGTCTTGCTTTCGCCTACAGTTAGCACCATCTATCATGGCAATTCTCTACTTCTGGTTGTGAGGGAGATGCATGAGGAGGAAGCCGGACTCTAAAACTTTTTCCTAGACTTGCTTTCTTTTGCACCCTGCTCTATTCATAGGAAGACTTTAAGCATTCCCCTGACATCTGCTGAATAATTTTAGTATTAAAGCTAGAAACATCTTACTACATTATGTCCACTTCCTTCAAAAGAGAACACTGGAAATTTATAATGCCTTTAATGTTTGCAAGAGTCACAGCATACAAGCAGACCGTAAGTGGTGTCAAAAGGCACTTTTACAAGGCATCTCTGCATTAGATCCCAGGGCCCCATCATTCCAGTAATGCTTTGTAGGTAAGAACAGTCACGCACATTTTGGGAAAATTTAAAAAGGCAATGTCTAACTCACTATTAATACTAATGAAACATTCTAAGCATTAGCCATCATTTCTTAGAAACTATTTTGTGGAGTACAAAAACTCATATTGCTTTTCTTCTAAATATTCATTGCAACAGTGAACTATCTGTGTATAGCCATAACAGGCTTTTAACAGTTTACTTCCATTTTTCTGTACATGCATAGAAGATATATTTTTAAACAATAGATTTTTTTTTTTGTCCAGTGAGGATCATATGGTAGAAATTAATAATAAGTACAATAAAAAGTGCCTGGGCTAATTCTCTCTCTTTGGTGCTTGTGCTACAGATGGAGCCCACACTCTGGCTTGTGCCTTGATGCTCTTAAATACAGACCTTCATGGACACGTAAGTGCTTCCTGTCCTTTAGCTCATCCAACCTGGCACCTTTGAGATGAGTTTAGTGAAAAAGGAAAAAGGAAACTGGCTGCTAGATAGATCTGTTCTCTCCAGCAGCCAAGAGAAATGGCCATGGAGACCCAGAATCCCATGGCTGGATGGGAAGGGGCGCTTCTTCGTAGACCATTTTGAGCCCTGCAGATTGCCAGCCCCCTCTGGCTTCTCCTGCGGTCAGAATATTCACATGGAGGACTTGCTCTATTTCTCATGGCAAACACTATTTTCCTGCCGAAAGATAAAGGCTTTGCTGCGAGGACATATAATGATCAGTAAGCAACTACTTGGTGCTGGGTTGGGGGGCTGAATAGATTATAGAAAAGGATGGCAAAGCCTGCACTGGGGAAAATCTTAAGCATAACAAATAAAGATCTGCAACACTTTTTTTTCTAAAATAATGGGCAAGTGCTATTTTGTTCCATTTTGCGAAGTGCCTTTTAGCCTTTTTCCATGAGTGGGTAGGCTTTCTGAAAGACCCATGTATACTATGTGCTTATATGTGTTTGAATAAAAATAGGGGTATATTGTTCTGCTGCTGAGTAAGCTTTGCTTCTCTCTGCCTTTGTTCTTGAAATAACATTTGTAGACTGCATTCACACAACATTTTTTAACCTGGATTCACCCATTTTCTGGGTTCACATTATGCAATGACCAAACAGACTGGGTTTGCACAATAGCCTAACCCACAATAACACCCAAGGTTAACACTAACCAACCTGAGTACTGTATGTACATATGAATTGCTAGAGCCTTATTTTTCCTGGTTAAGTATGTTTTGTGAACACAGTCATAGACTTTCTGCATCCAACATAATAAGCCCTGATGCCCGAAATGACCTTCCAATATCCATTTTTAATAACCAATTATTTTAATTTTTGAAATATTTTATGCTATGAAAACATTTCATTCATTCAGATCTAAACTGCTGTCAGAGAAAGGAGTTCCACCAAGCTATCATTAATTGTCCTTGATACAGCTCTATCCTCACATTTGCTTTTTTTTAGAAAGCCACACAACCCACTGTCATATTTTGTGATACATTTTTTCCAGAAATCTTAATTGAAACAGTCTTGTTAAACTTATGATCTAGTCTCCCTTCCTCTTTCCTCTCTTCCTCTTTATAGAACATTGGGAAGCGAATGTCTTGCTCAGATTTCATTGGGAACCTGGAAGGACTCAATCAAGGTAGTGATTTCCCTCGAGAACTACTCAAGGTAAATCCAACTACAACTCTTCCTGGAAACACAGTGCAGTATAAGAAAAGCCTTTGAAAAGTGTTTGCTTGTCACTTTTACTAAGCCAGTTCCCTAGATCTGGCAAGTCCAAGAGGGTTTTTTTTTTATTCCGGAGAGTTCATTGGAATAAGAATTAATCCATCTTGAACTACACCATTTTCAAGAAGAGACCTACTTGCAGCCATATTTATGCTAGCTCCATTTTCTTCTAGCAAAGGTCCTACTGTGTGTGGGTGTATTGTGTGCATGTGCATTAAGAAATGTTTGTGTAGGTATATATACTATGTGTGTGTGTATATATAGAGATATACAGATAGATGTATATAGATATACATATATAGATATAAGTCAGTGTAGATAGATTGATATAGATAGATAGATGTAGACTGATTGATTGATATACTGTAGATAAGTGTAAGTGAACAGAGGTTTTGTGTGCATTTTGGGGAAAGTTACAAATGTGCTTCCACAGGTGTGTAGGGGTACTTGTACAGGTAGGTTGCATGTATATTCAAATTGAATATATCCTGAAAGGCTGCTTTTGTACCTCAGGTTTCCTTAAGTGAAAAACTGCCTACACCCAAGGTGCAGGGCAAGGCAGATTCACACTCCTCTACTTTAATGGCACTACTTATTCCCCATGAAGCTTGTAGGAGATAAAATGTTCCAAATTTCAGGGTAGCTATAAAAAGTGGAAGATATTTTTGTGTGCAATTATTTCTTTTTTGTTACATGCTGAAGGTCTATTTTTAAAAAATAACAAAACAAAAGATCAGCTTCCTTGTTTAAGTTCTTTTGGAAAATATATCCATAATGTCTCTGGAAAGGTCATGATATCGCTATGTAATTTCAACAGGGCAACCTTTGTGCAGTAACTCTCTTGTCTATCTAAACGTTTAATGATTCCTTCCACAAAGATTAGTATTATTTTGTGGAGAGCTTTTGGAATTTCCCCCAAACCTCTAACCAAATAAGTTCAGCACCTGTATTCTTAGAGGCCATTCATATTTAAGATCTAGGAGGTCCAGTTAAAATGTTGTCCTGGTTTGGGATTAAATCAGTATCTTATATTGATTGATGAAGAATTGTAACCCTGTTTTATTGGTCTTGCTGTTTTTTAAATTTAAAAATTTATAAACCACCCATTTCCATTTTGAGTCTCAAGACAACTTACAAATATCAATATATAACAAAATCCAAGTGAGTCAGTTAGGTTCCATCGAACTGGGTTCCAATCCTACTGATTGCATGCACAAATACATGCCATCCTGACCTGTTGTAATAACTTGCAGCTTTTCCAAGGACATTCCAGTAATCTCTTTGATCTTATGCACCCACCTTATCTGCCTTGAATCCCCATCTACTGCCCTCACCTTACCAAAAAGGACCATCACTCACTTATATCATGTGTTCCAAATGTGTGAGTTTCTGTTTGTTGATCATCACTTCAAGGGAGCAACTAACTTTTGATTTGGTCCAGTGATGATCATGTCATGGTACTGCTTTCAAATCCATAGTTCAAAGGTGTCTTTCAAAGCGATACATTGTGGAAATACAGTGGTACCTCTACTTACGAACTTAATCCGTTCCGTGACTCTGATCGCAAGT